AACCTAAAAGCGATGGCCTGCAACCTAATAGCGATGGCCTGCAACCTATGGCCTCCAACCTAAAAGCGATGGCCTCCAACGTCATAGCGATGGCCTCCAACCTAGGAGCGATGGCCTCCAACCTAGGAGCGTTCGGCCTCCAACCTAATAGCGATGCCTCCAACCTAGCAGCGATGGCCTCCAACCTAATAGCATCTAATAGCGATGGCCTCCAACCTAGGAGCGATGGCCTCCAAACAAGTAGGGATGTCCTCCAACATTGGAGCGATGGCCTCCAACGTAATAGCGATGGCCTCCAACCTAGGAGTGATGGCCTCAACCTATATAGGAGCGATGGCCTCCAACCTAATAGCGAGGGCCTCCAACCTAATAGCGATGGCCGCCAACCTAGAAGCGATGGCCTCCATCCTAGAAGCGATCCTCCAACCTGGCCATGACTCATGACTGTTGTGACTCCAGATTGTTTGGGCTGCAAAGCGAGTCCCTGTTTTGCCGTGTGACTCTATTTGGGTTTAAAGTTGTCATGTAGAAAGGGCAGCAAAATGGGTCCCAAAATTGCCCCGTATAGGACATTCAGTTTCACATTGCCAGGCTGGACTTGGGTCTTGCCGCAAGGCCGGGTTGAGAAGAGTTGAACAAGAGTTGAACGCGGTGCAGTAGTTGAAGTTTGCCCAAACCCAAGAGACCGCGCTCAGTGTCACAAGCTGAGACCTTGTAGAAAGAGAGCCTGTTAGCAGGGTGTCAATCCGAAGAGCAATTCATTTTGGATGAGAGGCAACTGATGGGTCTAAATCACCCAGGAGCTACTAGTAACTTCTTGTTCCTAGTAGTAATGCCAGGAGCCCCTAATAGAGTCCTTGCTCCTAGTGATATCAACGGTTCACATGTTGAGACTTGGCCAGGCATCGCAATGGAACCACGCCATCCAACTGATGGCTTCGTGTCTGCCTCGGGTGGCTTCAGTAATTAGCTTCCATCCCCGAGGTCGACACAGAGGGCTCTCTACTTCTAGCTTTATTGTTCCTAGTAGTAAGGCCAGGAGCCCCTATTAGCTCCTTGTTCCTAGTAGCCATTCATTTTTTCCGAGGCTGAAGGCGATCCAGGCAGATGTCGTGGCGTGGAACTCCGTGCGCCTGCCTAAACTTGATGCAGAGCGATCAAGACAACCATGACCTTTCATCAGGGCGTTCCTTTTTTCAGGCTTTGAAGACAGGCAACTCTTAGGTTGGAAGCCATGGCTTCTAGGTTGGAGGCCATTGCTCTCGCTCTTAGGTTGGAAGCCATGGCTTCTAGGTTGGATCACAGGAAAAAATGGCTTGAAAGTCCGCCTGAGTTGGAGACACCTCTCGTACAAAAACCTCGGTAAGGACCAGACAAATGTGCCAGGGAATTGCTGCTTGTGCTGATGGCAAGCAGGGACTGGAGGCCATTGGGTGCAGCTCACTCGTGACGCGACCCTCTCCCTTGAGCACGACGGAATTGCAACACAGATAGAAGGGCAAGGACCATTGCGACTCAGCGTCCTTGCTCCTAGTAGTAAGGCCAGGAGCCCCTAGTAGCGTCCTTGTTACTACTAGTAAGGCACTTGTTACTAGTAGCGATGCACTTGTTCCTAGTAGCGTGGCACTTGCTCCTAGTGCACAAGAACTTCGTTCCTTTCTGCTCGGTTTTACAGCGCCCTTCGATTTTCGGACGCGTCGGCATGGGATTTTCGTCCGCATGAATGAGGGAAACAGGTCAGGCGATGGCTCCCCCAACTGTTCTGAACGGCTCCTTCGGAGGTGCTGAAGCTCTTTGATGAGTTAAGATGTGAGGCCTTGCAGCGGGAAGCTCAAGTGTAACAATCTGGGCGCAGGCTGTAGGAAGCTTCAGCAAGGATCCAAGGACTAGGAGCTAGTAGTTAGTAACTTAATTAAGTAGGGATTTTCCTCTTGGACGCACTCTTTGCTGTTTCTCCAAGGAAACTGGGGAGGGGAACTTTCTTGACCCTGGCAAACTTAGTCTACACAAATGTCCACAGTGAATCGGTGGCGGGGGCACAAGAATCACTGGAAGAATCGACGCGAGAAAGGAAGATGTATGCGAAGCCTGCATGGCAACAATGTACACTCTACTTTGCCTTTAGTAGCAAGGAGTAAGAAAAGATGCAAAACGAACAGGAGTAATTAGAAGACTAAGGCAATGGAGTTGAAAGAGTAGTTGGAGACAAGACAACACAGGTTTCCAAGCCGGGTTCTTGTTTGCAGTACTGTTATCGAGCTACCCACGAAGCGTCTTTGCGTTTTTTAGCATTTAGACCTTAGACCTTGTTGTAATGGCGGCCTCCAACCTAATAGGAATGGCCTCCACCCTACTTGCGATGGCCTCCAATCCAATAGCGATGTTCTTTAATGTTCTAGCTTCTTGGCTACTACTAGCTTCTTGTTCCTAGTAGTAAGGCCAGGAGCCCCTAGTAGCTATGCCCTTTGCTCCTAGTAGGGATGCCCTTGTTCCTAGTAGCTTTTCTGACTAGAGGCCCACGGCTGTGACCTACTGCAGCCTGGCGGCTGGGCTGAGCTGGGAGCCCAAGGCGATGGCGAACTTCATGGCGGTGGGCTTCCGTGGCGTTTGAGACACTGGACACTTCTGCACTTTGTTCGCTACTAGTAACAAGTGCATTACTAGTAGCAAGAAGCTACTAGTAACAAGGGCATCGCTAGTAGTAACAAGGGCTTCTGCATTTTGTTCGGATATAAAACAAACCAGTGAGTCAATGCGTGCTGAGTGACGCAGTGGACAGCCTCATGGTGGTGCTTGTCTTGACATTGAACAGTTTCTTGCAAAGAACTGTTTTGAATCGCTGCGGGAAGGTGATTTCTGGCTTCATGCTTTGGAATTGTTGGAGGATGCAGCCAAAAGAAAAGTCAAAGACCCAGTTCCTGGAAACAGATCGAGAAACAGGAAAGATGAGGAAAGGATGGAAGCGGAGCGCACATCTGTGCGCACAACTCGGCACCTTTACAGAGATTTAAAAAAGCGAACTCTTACAACTTATCATGCTTGCTCAATCAAATTGCAGGTGTGCTGGCTGAGCAAGGACGCTACTAGGGGCTCCTGGCATCGCTACTAGGAGCAAGGACGCTATTGGTAGCTAGGTTGGAGGCCATTGGCATCAGCATCGGCTCTTCGAGGTTCAGGCGAGCTGGCCCTTGCGGAACTCTGTTCTAAATGTGGTGCTCTCAGAGTGAGCGGTTCCGTCTCACGGAGTCCAACATGAAGAACCGGTGACGATCAGTGACGCAAGGGCGGCCGAAAACGGTCTTGGCACGCAAGGCCCTGAGCTGGGAGGCTGGGCTGATTGGATTGCAGGGCTTTCTTCAGGCGCATTCGCACGACTCGCAGTACTTGCCTCTAACCTAGAAGCAAGGACGCTACTAGGAGCAAAGGGCATCGCTACTAGGAGCAAGGACGCTACTAGGTCACTTTATTATATAGATTTTTCTTTGTTTCTACTAGCAATGGCTTCCAACCTAAGAGCGATGTCCTCCAACCTAAGAGCAATGGCCTCCAACCTACTAGCGACGGCCTCCTTGCTTTTTGTGTTCTCTCTTTCTTTTTATTCTTTTTGAACCTTTCCTTTATCCTTGCTTTTTTTCTTATACTTCATGCTACTTATTCATGCAATGAGGACTGAGTTTGCTTCTTGAGCCTTGCGTCCTTCGCTTGTACTTCGTGAGGAGGGTAGTGCACCAAACACCATCACCTTCAACACCCTGCTCAACGCCGCGGAATGGCAACAGGTGAGTCGGTACTCCCCGATGAGAGCCGGGTCCCATGATGTTCCGAAGGAAGTTAAGTTTTCCTACAAATGGCCTCCAACCTACTAGCGATGGCCTCCAACTAGTTAGCTTTCCCTAAGAATCTAGGAAGCAAATCATTGGTGCGTGAGCTAGCCGGAGCTTCCTATTCCTAGTAGCGAACTACTCACGTAATTGAGTAGGCTTCCTAGAGCGGGCTATTTAAGAAACATCCTTCGATCGAGCACCTTCTGGATGTTTGGAGCTCGAAAGTTCTGCACGAAGTACCTTGTGGAGGCTTCAGAGCTGATGAACGCCATGAAACGTCGCGGAGTCCAACGAAGTCGGATCCGTAGTGGAAGAGTTGACGGGTGACCATCTGAGGTTCGATTTCGTTCCCCGAAACGTTTGGTATATTGCTTGAGGCTTTGTATCTTTTTTAGCGCTGGCCCAGGAGCCGTGGTAGAGAGCACGCTGAGAATGTTTTTGACATGATCAATTTTTTAGGGTTGGAGGCCATCGATAGTAGGTTGGAGGCCATTACTACTAGTAGCGAGCATTTCTAGTAGCAAGAAGCTACTAGGTTGGAGGCCATCGCATGACTAGCTCGGGTTGTTTTGAGGACTCCAGATGGCCAGACGGATTGAACGTGGTGCGCCAGTTGCAGCAGGAGAGGCATTGGGTCTGTGAAAGACGAGTCTTCTGTCTTGTGCAGAGCATGAAGGTGTCATGCATGTTTCACTATAGCCTGTTTGTTTTTGCATATTCCAAACGAACAGGCAGGTATTGAATTGATGGGGCTATTTCAAGTCTTGTCCTTTGATTCCTTGGGCAAAAAGGATGCACTGGATGTGGATCTGGCGATCGGCACATGCTTGGCCACATCAGCATCCTGGCAGGAGGCTGGGATGCAAAACTCGAAGAGTTGCAGTGTCTTGAATTTTCCTTTTGATTTCATGTTTGATTTTGTTCTTTTCCTTCTTTACTCCTTCGTGTTGGATCCATTCCAGTTCTAGAATTCTCTGTGATCCTTCTCCGAAGCTGTTTGGGCTCTTACCCTTCCAAAGCGATCCTGCTCGTGTAACTCTAGAGGTCCTCAAAGTTGTTAAGGTGTTGGTTGGTTCCTGGTTCCAGAACCTTTGTGTTTTCGGTTAGCAGACATCAAGAGCTAATTGGGGCAGCCACTTTCAGCACAAGGCACCACCCAGATGTGCAGCCCTCGGACACCTTTCTTTCGTTTTGGCCATGCAACTCTACGCTCAGCCAGTCGAAGCGCCATGGCGACCCAGCCGTGTCGCAACACGTCGCGGCCGGAGCAAACCGAGCGACTGGCGACGGACCCAATGGCGACTTTGTTCATCAGGACGACCCAATGGCAACTTAGGACGCTACGAACGGGGCAAAGGACGCTACTAGGGGCTCCTGGCCTTACTACTAGGAACAAGAAGCTATATACTAGGCAACGTTTTTCTTTTTTCTTTGTTTCTACTAGCAATGGCCTCCAACCTTGAAGTGATGGCCTTCAACCTAAGAGTGATGGCCTCCGACCTAAGAGCGATCGCCATTGGCCGTTTCAACGCCTGTTTGCAAAGTTTTTCAGACACAATTATGTTTTTGGTGAACTAAGTACTTAGTACATTCACTCACAGGATTGGCCAAATTGGGATATCTAAGAACTTGGCAAACACCCAGAAATCAGTCTTATTTTGGACTCAGCAGTGATTCCCTGCATCCTGCAGATCATGCTAGATCTCTGCTGCATCCCACCAAGTGTCCCACAGGCCTCGACCTAGGATTCCTGTCCCGAGGGTCCCACCATGTCCCACCAGCCGATAGCCAAATGACATACTGACAAGAACAAGGATGCCATGACATGCACCAGCAGGATGCTCGTTACTAGTAGCTTCTTGCTACTAGTAGTATGGCCAGGAGCCCCTAGTA